CTAATACTTACATACACACAACTTTAATTCTCATTACCTCATATTTACATTAACATTACTTCATCAATTCTTCTTTCTCATACTTACCATAATAGGCAATTGCTAATTCGTATTATGTGTGGCTTATAATCTCGTGACAAATAGATGCCTGTGACTTTGTTCACGGCATCTCATTTGTCACTCGATCATGAACACCCTAGTACACAACATGAAATACATAATTTGGGATTATCAAGAGGATCGAGTTTATTTTTGACCTTTCACTTATCTACTACATATAATAAAGTATATAACTCATAGCTAGTTAATTATATAGATTCTCAAAAACCCATTTTAATTGATGTCCTTTCATTTGTTGTCTTCACAGCTCTCAAATACAACATAACAGCTTTAGAATCCCACCTATCAATAGTTCTTATTTGAGTCAAAGACATTCCTCCTTTCATAGCAGCAGTTGCACCACCTATCCTCAGACTATGTGCTATAAAATGTCCTTTTATCTTAGCATTCTCTATCATGCACTTTATTACTGGAGAAATTGCAGCTACAGACATCTCTCCTTTCCTGTTTGACAAAAATAAAGGCATATCCACAAATGTTTCTGGTCTCACCTTTAAGTATTTTTCTAGCAACCTTACTGGACAGATTTTACTATTTGTTGTCTCAACTGGTATAAATCTTCCATTTGCAAAAGGGTCATTTTTCGATTTTCTTATCCTGATCCAAATCAGCCCTGATCTTCTCTCTACATCCTTTAGTCGCAATTTACACAACTCACCAGGCCTACGCATTGTATGAAAACCCAATGCTACTAAAGCTAAATCCCTGCACCAGATTACTGCATCTACATTTTTTGGTGGATTATTATAATACTGCCTTAGAGCTTCTATTAGGAAAGGATCTTGAGGCCAATTCACATCTCGATCTTGTGCCTTTAGTAACTTAATTCCTTTTATCACATCTTTTATCTTAAAACTCTCTATTGGATTCGTTATATCATTCTCTTTATGCATCCTCATTATTGCTTCAAGACAATCCTGAATTAGTGCCAACCTACCCATCAATTCCAGCCATCCTAAAAAGGTTTTAACTGTATCTGCACTTGCAGGACAAGCTGATGTTCCTATTTATCTACAAAAATTTTCAAAAATACTTTGTGTCGTAAGTAATCTATTTCTATACTCTTTATTTATTGCCAATTTCGCTAACTCATCAGCTCGTTTAACTAATCTTTCTACCATTTTATTTTGGCTGCCAACAACTTCCAAGCTGGGTTTTTGCATGGCTCTCTTTGTTCTGATGGCCCTGGAAGAATAATTTTTGATGCTGATGGCAATTCTATTACCTTCTTTGGTGTCTCCAAAAACATGGGCCACCACAGAGCTGACACCCATACTGAGCAAATTAATAATACCTGAGTTTGCACTCCTGACTGTGTATAAGCACATGATGTATTAGACTGAAAGGTGGGCACACATAGTTTATTTCTGCTTCCCATCTTTGAGTAAAACAATCGACTGCTTCGGCATCAGGACAAAAATGGTAACTGTTGAATCGCCTCTTTTTGGTGTTCAAATGGCTTGCAAACTGATCTATCGTTACTGGCCTCATTTTGCTTCCAACTTTATAAACACTTGATCGTGCAATTGCCAATCACTTGTGTCCCATATTCTTGTAAGACAATCTGCTGGGTTCATTAAGCTTGGTATCCACCTTACTTCAAAGATCCATATATCAGTTTTTGCACAAAATTCCCAAAGAAATCTTACTACATCCTTCTGCCATGGGCAACTTCCTTCATGTGTAATAGTTCTTACAACTGTTTTGTTGTCTATAAATAGGGTAATCCAAGAATGTCTCAAATGCATTTCCAAAGACTCCAAAGTTCTCAAAGCAGTGAGACTTTCCAACTGTGCTATTTCTGCTGATTTGAAGGGTTTTGGCCAGTTTTCTGCTGCTTTGAAATTTAAATACATTCCACCCCAACCTATTAATGAGGCATCTACAAAGACTGCCTTTATCTGAGCCGGCTTCCAAGCTGGCTTTCCATTCCACCTCATCAAATTGTCCTATAACTATCTTATATCTTCTCATGCTTTGATTGTCAATTCTACATTCTCGCTTTACTCCCAATGCCTCTGATTGGCTGCATCTATAATGGCATAAAATTCCAAGCACTTTACTTGAGCTGGTAAGAAGGCTCGCACAAAACTTTGGATTTTCCCTGCTATTAATGCTAACCTTCTTATTGGCAAAACTTGAAGCTCTTCCAACTCTTCTAATTCTTTCTGAACTTTTTGAATCTTTTCTTCTGGCACTTCTACTATACCATTCTTCATATCTACTATTAAACCATAAATCTTTATTCTTTTGACAGGTTCCCAATTTTCTTTGTCTGGGCTCTGATGAATCCACATTGTTCCAAATCTACTTTTACTATTGTATCTCTTATATGCAATAAAACTTTTTTAGATGGGCTTGCTAGCTACACATCATCTATATGACTTCTACAATATACCTCTCGAGATCTCCAAGAGCCTATCAATGCTCTTATAATCTTTGAAAAGACCCATGAAGACTGGGATAGGCCGAAAGGCAAAACTGTGTAATAGAACCACATTTCGCCTACTCGGAACCCCAAGAAACGTTGAGCCTATTCGTCCATTAGAACATGATGATAACCATCCTTTAAATCGAAAATGATCACCCACCAGTCTCTTCCAATTGTTTTTAATAATCCTTCCAGGTGCTCGAATCGAAAAGTTTTCTTTGATAGTACTTGATTTAACCTTCTTAAATCTATAACCATACGATATTTTTTCAGGCCTGGCTTCAGAACCAAAAATACTGGACTTACCTTCAGTAAAAACTCTGACTTCCTTTTTCTCACAGATACTAACTTTATCACTCCTGTCATTTTTAGTCTTTCTAACTCCTGTTCTACCCATTCCAGCTCCTTTTTTGAAAACTTGAACTGTTCCGGTACCCTCTTTTGTGTCAATGATTTTATTACTCTTGGAAAAAGAGGAATCTTGTTCTTCAACCAAAATAGCACCAAAGCCGCAGGCTTTATTACCTCTGTCCAATAAGTCACTGATGACTCCAAATGAATCCTGCCTATCACTGACTGTAGTTCTACATTGTTGTCTGACCGAGTGTGGTCAACTCTTTTCATTTTCAGAACCTGTTTTCCGAAAGGACTGACTCTATTTTTTCTGAGAGCAGTCCCAAGCTATATGACCCCTCTCTTCGCAAATAAAACAAACCACACTTGTTCTGTTTCGCCTTTGACCCTTATCTGATACATATTGTCTATGATTATCTGAAAAGGATCCTGACTGGCCCCAATAGTTACCCTGGTCATTATATTGATGTTGATAGGAGACCTGGGCAGAAGTCATATTATTATACACTGGCCCTGCACCTGAACCTAAACCTACTTGAAAAGGTTGCTGAAGATGCTGAAATTGCTGAACCGGTTGTTGAGCCCACAGTAAAGTCTGGTTTGGAATTGGATTTCCAAAACCTCCTGGCAGTGCCGTAAGAGTAGGTCCTGAAGAAAAAGTCTTATTTTCTAATCTTGGCTGCTTATTTCTAACTGACTGTCTTGCATTGGCCAACTTCTCATGAAAATAAACTTCCATAGGATCTTCACTTGCTGGGTCTTTAATACCTGCAGCGACATCCCACCCTTCCTTATTTGCTACCCTCAACATGAAGGCCCTAGTAGCTGCCACATCTCGCACCTTAATTACGAAATCCCACTCTTTACCTATCAAGGAACTATCTAGATATCTTCCAAGCTTGCACCATTCATCATATTCGAATTGATCTCTCGACTTATTTATTTTTTCTTTTGGCCAATATCTATCCTCATCAACTGAATAAACCGATTGTACACTCCTTTTAAACTCCTCCAAAGCCTTTTCTAATGTCGCCTGTACAGTTTTTTCCAATGATTTTTCCAGGGCAATATAATGTGAATCAGGCAAAGAGCCATTTTGAACTTCAGCATTATTCTCATTTTCTGATCTATTTTCAAACTTATCATGAACTACGTCATCTGACACCAGACTCATCCTATCATGCCACATATCCCTATCCTGACTACTGTCTTCCCCTCTCCCTTTTTCTTTTGCCTTACTAACCACTCTCCCTACTAACCTTTCAACCAACTCCTTTTTTGTTCCAACCTCCAACAAACCTTCAGCCTGACACAGCACTCTCAAAGTCTCCACTGTCATATGCTCTAAACTATTCTTTAACCCTTGTCACGATGTGAGCTCCACCTCCGGGCTCCCCTCTTGTACATTTCCCTCCATAATTTGAATTTTCACTTGTTAACCACGTGTAAAATACTACAAAGCTAGACTTCACGTCGAGCTAACAGCAAGGACAAAAGAGAAGGACCTAACACAGTTTACTCGCCTCCTAAATACCTGCCATTACATGACCTAATACTTACATACACACAACTTTAATTCTCATTACCTCATATTTACATTAACATTA